AAGGCCGGCATCATTGCCGCCTCGAAGGCCGGAGAGATGCGCTTCACTGACACCCGAAAGGACGAACAGGAGAGATGTATTACCATTAAGTCGACCGCCATTTCCATGTACTTCGAGATGAAGGAGTCGGACATGGCTTTCATCAAAGAGGCCGATCAGAAGGAGAAGGGAGACGAGAAGGGCTTCTTAATCAATCTGATCGACAGTCCCGGTCACGTGGACTTCAGCTCTGAAGTGACGGCCGCTCTTCGGGTCACCGACGGAGCCCTCGTTGTGGTCGACTGTGTGTCCGGTTTGTACTCAAAAATGATTACGCATTAAATGGTTATATAAATGACACAATGATTGGCAACCAATAGGAGTGTGCGTCCAGACGGAGACAGTGTTGCGTCAGGCGATCGCAGAGCGCATAAAGCCGGTGGTGTTCATGAATAAGATGGACTTAGCTATGCTTACGCTGCAACTCGAACAGGAAGACCTCTACCAGAAGTTCACCCGTATTGTGGAGACTGTGAACGTGATAATCGCCACTTACGCCGACGAGTCCGGACCCATGGGTGACATCAAAGTGGATCCGTCTAAGGGTAGCGTTGGCTTTGGATCAGGTCTTCACGGATGGGCGTTCACTCTGAAGCAGTTCTCTGAGATGTACGCCGAGAAGTTCAAGATCGACACCGAGAAACTGATGAACCGCTTGTGGGGCGAGAACTTCTACAATCCCACGACCAGGAAGTGGGCCAAGAAGTACGACGACGGCTTCAAACGCTCGTTCTGTATGTTTGTATTGGAGCCCATCTTCAAGGTGTTCGACGCCATCATGAACTTCAAGAAGGAGGAGATCCCGAAGTTGTTGACAAAGTTGAACATTGTCTTGAAGGGCGACGACAAGGAGAAGGAGGGCAAAGACCTGTTGAAGGTTGTGATGAGGACTTGGCTGCCGGCCGGCGAGTCGTTGCTTCAGATGATAGCCATTCACTTGCCGTCACCGATCACTGCGCAGAAGTACAGAATGGAAACGCTATACGAAGGCCCGCACGACGACGAGGCAGCTGTTGGTCAGTACTCCACAGTCAGATGTTTTGGTGCTTGATTTGTAACCCATTTTGTCTCAAACAGCCGTTAAGACGTGTAATCCTGAGGGACCGCTAATGATGTACATCTCAAAGATGGTGCCGACTTCAGACAAGGGACGCTTCTATGCGTTCGGTCGTGTCTTCTCCGGTATTGTGTCTTCGGGACAGAAGGTGCGGATAATGGGACCCAATTATGTTCCCGGAGGCAAACAGGATTTGGTCGAGAAGGCTATTCAACGGTATGTCTGCCTAATGCCTGCCTATTGTGTCAATTTGTATCTCAATTAATATTGAATCGACAGAACTGTGCTTATGATGGGTCGTAACGTTGAGTCCATTGAGAACGTCCCGTGCGGTAACATTTGCGGTCTCGTCGGTGTGGATCAGTTCCTCGTGAAGACCGGAACGATCTCTACGTTCAAAGACGCGCATAACATGAAAGTAATGAAGTTTTCTGTGAGTCCTGTGGTTCGCGTTGCCGTTGAGCCCAAAAATCCGGCCGATTTGCCAAAACTGGTCGAAGGGCTGAAACGATTGGCGAAATCAGATCCTATGGTTCAGTGTATTATTGAAGAGTCTGGCGAACACATCGTCGCCGGCGCCGGAGAATTGCATCTCGAGATCTGTCTGAAGGACTTGGAAGAAGATCACG